AAATGTTAGTGACTAGTAAAAAGAATATTTTGTAGGTAATTTTGAGTAACTTACCACCATAAATTGGAAACAAAAAAATACATAAAATTTCGTCAACTCAAAAGTAAAAAAAAAGTGCATTGATTTAGCTGCATGAGCAACTTAACTGTCTCAGCCAATGTTTGGAAGGAAAAGGTTCCATAATATTCCACAATAATAATTAAGTTTAAATGTCATCATATCCACAATTTATCTCCTTAGGCTTTGCTATTGTTTGTTTCTAACTGCAATTGAAGAAAGTGTTCTATCAGTGGAATCAAACAAATTCTTAACATATGTCTGTGATTCTGATGAATGAGAAAGATTAATATGAGAAATTAAATCACAGTTACTGATACCACTGGAATTTGGGGAAGATATTTGAAGGTGACTTCAAATCAGCCATGTAAAAGAACACCTTGAATGGTGGTACATTTGTTGCTAAAAGCCACCTCTATAGGTGGCTGTAGACCCACCAATGAAAGAACACTTTTTTCAAGGGCATGCATTCTATCCCTGCAAAAAAAAATATGCTGTACCAACACTCACTCCAGTTAATTACTTAGTTTTCAACTGGTGAAATGATAAGTGATTTGCTTGGTTACATTTGATATGGTTACAACATTTCTGCAATCTAAAGTGACTAATAATTAGTATTTTTTTATATATTCTGAAATATTTTGTATAATCTAAAATAGCCCACAGAACAATTTTAGAGAATACACACAGGCTATGTTTCATGAAAATTACTCAGCAGTTAACATTTATCTCCAACAGATCCTTTCAGTATTTATGACATTTTAAAATAGACTAACTTAGAAATCTGTACTTTAATTATAGAGTAACATCAAAATTCTTTTCAGATAATTAGATCAATAAATTTATATTCATCTAGATATCATTTTTCTTTTTTAACTCTATTTTTCCCCCTGTAATCATTCTAGAATAATAATCCAAAGTTAAAAAACAAAAAAAGCATTCCATGTTTCATTTATATAATGGTTGCCTTTCAGAATAAGTCCTCATATATGACCAAATGCATCAGTAATCCTAGCATACAAATCATAACTAAATACACTCACATTTGCAGAAAATATAATGAAAGTTTATTAACCGAGGCTTTAGCATCCAACATTGTTATAATAGTTGCAAAAATCTCAGAAACCTTTTACTCGGTACTAAAGACTAGAGAACTGATTGGGCTGTCGGGGGGGAGAGCAGACAAGGGAGAACTTCATCCTGAGGGACACAGCAAGAGATCATGGAATCAACAGAACAGACAGAATTAAGGTGAAGTTAGTAGCCTGCTGATTTCTAAGTACTTAACCACACTATTAGAATCATTCTCTCAAAAAGAATGGAATAATTTAAAAGTAAAGTGGTACAATCTGCAAAATTATCTCATTTGCTTCACTAGGTGAAAATGATTACAAAAGGAATGGGAATGAACTATCAAAAAAAAAAATCTCACAGGAAAATTGAACAGTAACAGCTAGACAGAGAATGCAAAGAACCTCTAAAGAGAAATCAACAGGAAGTAGCAATAACAGGCACTTTCATCTGCCTGAAGAATGTGTGTGCAAGCAGATATGTTTCCATACTCCCACTTGCAATTTAAGCTATCTCTAATAGTACAATTTAAAACAAATCTTCAGTATATATTTTGCAAACTCAACCAGCAACTAGAATTTGCTCTAAAGTAATAAAGAATTGACTAGTTATGGTGCTGTGGCTCTGGCACGACTTTTATTAGAAAAAATAATTGAAGCTAATGAAGTTCTGAACATTCCAGCACATCAGTGGGCCGTAAAGAGAACTGTTTACTTCTGGGCAGATAGTACCAGAATTCCTTATTGGGGCAACCAATAAGGAGCCACTTTTCTTTTTTTTTTTTTTCCCTTTTTTTTGCCTTTTTTTGTGTCCGGCAATGGATCGCAACCCTCAGTGTCGCGCCCGTACCGGACCGGGACCGGCAACGGAATCGCAACCCTCGGTGTCGCGCCCGCACCTCGCTCAGCCAGTGAGCGGGAACCGGTCTGTATG